CGCAATTTAACTTAAACTATGGGCTACGATAACGCAAGGCCCTAGTCGCATGTTCGTTTCATAACCGGAAAGTCACTGGTTCGAATCCCGCTGTTGTCTTCATTTGCTACATGAATTAGTTAGACGCTTTAAAATTTTATTTTCTGTAGTTTTATTTTCTGTAGTTTTATTTTCTGAAGATACTGGACCCTTTGACTTTGAAACAGGTGGCCTCCAGCCGGCACTTGGTATCGAATCCGGTCCCTCTCACAGTGGAAGCAGATGCTCACACGTATTTTCCGAGCTTAATGTTGCCTGGCACGTTTGATTTCCTGCAGTACATGTCAAAAAGCAGCCGGAAAAGTAGAAGCTCTTATCAGGCATGATAAGGCTCAACTTTTGTCTGACGTCACAGCTCGAAGCGATGCACCCAGCATGCGTATTTTCCGAGCTAAATGTTTCCTGGTAAGTTGTCATTCCCCCAATAATTATCGAAAAGCGGTCGAAAAAGTTCAGGCCCTTATCACCCATGATAAGCCTCAATTTTGTCTGACGTCACAGCTCGAAGCGATGTACCTGGCATGTGTATTTTTTAAAATGAATGTTTCCTGGTAAGTTGGCTTTTCCGCAATATATGTCGAAAAGCCGCCGAAAACACATTAGGAAACGCACTAGGAAAAACGCACTAGGTTGCATTGATTCGAGCTGTGACGTCAGACAAAAGTTGAGGCTTATCATGGGTGATAAGGGCCTGAACTTTTTCGACGGCTTTTTACATTTATTGCGGGAAAGCCAGCTTACTAGAAAACATTTAGCTCGGAAAATACGCATGCTGGGTGCATCGCTTTGAGCTGTGACGTCAGAGAAAAGTTTTGGCTTATCATGGGTGATAAGGGCCTAAACTTTTTTGACTGGTTTTCGACGTTTATTTCGGAAAAGCCAACTTACCAGAAAACTTTTAGTTTGCAAAATACGCATGCTGGTTACATCGCTTCGAGCTTTGACATCAGACAGAAGTTGAGGCTTATCATGGGCGATAAGGGCCTCAACGTTTTCGACTGCTTTTTGACACTTATTGCGGGAAAGCCAACCTTTCATGAAACATTCATCTAGGAAAATACGCATGCTGGGTGCATTACTTCGAGCTTTGACGTCAGACAAAATTTGGGCCTTATCATGGGTGATAAGAGCCTCAACTTTTTCGACTGCTTTTCGAAATGTATTGCGGGAAAGCCAGCTTACCAGGAAACGTTTAGCTCAGAAAATACGCATGCTGGGTACATGGCTTCGAGCTATGACGGCAGACAAAAGTTGAGCCTTATCATGAGTGATAAGGGCCTCAACTTTTTCAACTGCGTTTCGGCATTTATTGCGGGAGATCCAACTTACCAAAAAACATTTATCTCGGAAAATACGCATGCTGGGTGCATCGCTTCGAGCTTTGACGTCAGACAAAAGTTGGGGCTTATCATGGGTGATAAGGGCCTCAACTTTTTCAACTGCTTTTCGAAATGTATTGCTGGAAAGCCAGCTTACCAGAAAACGTTTAGCTAAGAAAATACGCATGCTGGGTACACGGCTTCGAGCTATGACATCAGACAAAACTTGAGCCTTATCATCAGTGATAAGGGCCTCAGCTTTTTTAACTGCGTTTCGGCATTTATTGCGGGAAATCCAACTTACCAAAAAACATTTATCTCCGAAAATACGCATGCTGGGTGCATCGCTTCGAGCTTTGACGTCAGACAAAAGTTGAGGCTTATCATGGGTGATAAAGACCTCAACTTTTTCGAGTGCTTTTTTTAAATGTACTGCGGGGAAAGCCAACTTACCAGGAAACTGTTACATTGGAAAATACGCATGCTGGGTACATCGCTTCGAGGTGTGACGTCAGGCAAAAGTTGAGCCTTATCATGGGTAATAAAGACGTCAACTTTTTCAGCTGCTTTTCAACATGTATTGCAGGAAAGCAACCGTACCAGGCAACATTAGCTCGGAAACTACATATGAGCGTCTGCTTGCACTGTGGGAGGTACCGGGTTCGACAAACAGTGCCGCTAGAGGTCACCTGTTTCAAAGGCAGAGGGATCGACTATCTTCAGAAAATAATAATACAGAAAGTAGAACTTTAAAGCCTCTAACGAATTCATGTTGCAAATATAGAATACAGTGGGATTCGAATCAGTGACCTTACGGTTATGAAACGAACATGCGACTAGGGCTGCGACTTATTTTAGCTCATAGTTGAAATTCATTCAAATGACTCGTTTCCATATCGGAGCCACTATAACTGCTCCATTGTGCAAGACATAATTAAAAAAAAGGACTTTCAGGGCATTTCACATCGTTACCCACATGGTCTTGTGACTTTCTTTTTTTAACATTATCTGCGCCGTGATTCGAACCAGCGTCGTTTCAGTTTGAACATGAACATCCTACGGACACGGCTATTGCCACGGACTAGACATCTAGGTTTAAAGGTTGGTCTGTACATCACGCAGCACATTCTTCAATACTAAACACTGGATATGTGTGTCGGAGTCTTGGTGCACACGAAGTTTTCTGACCTCCTTGCACACTCAATTCTATTGAAATATAACAAGACTTTCAGAAATTAAAAAAAATTGAAATGGCGAAGCCTACACTAGCCGTGTAATGCTTAAAAAGCAACGAGGCTGGTTGGCCTTATGAGCTTAACCTGGCCTTCTTGGCTGATGCTGGGTCTTTCGTTGGCTCGAAACAAAGTAGATTTAAACTGCAGATTGTCACAGACCTTGCTTTTAGTCGGTGGGCATGGCTAACAAAAAATTAAAATTTTCAAAGGCTTTGTAATCTGACATGCCCCTTCAATCAGTTTTTTTAAAATGGGACAAAATGTTCAGAAATCGAAAAATATATATTTTTTCAAAGTCTATAGACTATCCTTTTTGGTAAGAAGTGCAGCACACCCTATCATTTTGATTGAAATGGAATGAAATTTTCAAAAACCGCTAGCTTAGGCATCAGTTAGACAAGTGCCAAACGAAATCCTATAAGGAGTTTATTTTGTTACTTTTTAAATACGCTTCAGTTGTAACGTCCGCGCCTATATGTTTTATCTGTATCCTTATCTTCCGCTCAAATGACTGATGTAAATTACTTTCCAAGTATTGATAATATAAATTTTATTGTGGGCAGCTGAATACTTTAATGATAACTCTTTAATGAACATGCCTCAGGTAAGCCCCATCGTCGTTGTGCACTGATGCTGGATACCATCATGATTATTCAGTTCACGCATCGAGGCCATCTGCGCAAAGCCGTACGCTCAAAGACAGAATAGAAGGATCAAGCCGCCTTGCAACACTTTGGCTGAGAGCACGCCAGGACTGCTACTCCTACCAGGAGCGAGGCAACACGACAAGTCACATCAGAATGTAGCGCCAAGTCATGCAGCAAGTCCTGCACATGGTGACGGCAGCGGGCGATTCTTTCATAGCGTCAGACTTGTTACCGCTAGAAACCGGGAGGCCCATCTACGGCATCGGAGACGAGCAGCACTTCCGACTCTACGACCAGCAAAGAGGCGAGTGTCGACGATGGCATTGGTGGATCGGTTTTACTGCGGACGCCGCAATCAAGCACCGACGAAGAGCCTCGAATACCGGAACGAAATGGTTCTTTTATTGCACCCGTCGGGTTCTTCAGATTCTTGGAGGCTCTCGGAAGAAAGAACTCTGCTAGTGGACACCATGGCGGCGCATCCCCGTCCAGCACAGAAGATAACGAACACGACGTCGGTGGAAGCACGCGTTCGGTTGGTGTCACTTCGTCCTCTTAAGCGGCGATGGCGGGAGACCCGAAACCTCAATGCCCTCGCATCTCCAGCCCGCACAAACCAAGTGGTCCGAGGAGAACGTGGCTCAATCTGCTCTCGATGTTTGTCACGTTTTCCTTCTGCTTTTGGCTGATCTGCCCATTTTAAGACTTGGATGCCGATGAGCCCACGGGGCCGAACACCACACACTACGAGTCTATAAAATATGGCGCCGTGGAAACGAACGAGGTGCAGGCACAGCTAGAAGATGAAGCTCCGCTCTAGCGCTAATTGCGCTGAATGGAATAGAAATGCTATTGTGTCGACGGTGACACTAATAAGCGTAATATTATATAAATGTTTAGTATAGCCTCTGTTAGAAGCAGAACGTCACCATGTATTACTTGCGCCGATATTATGCAAGCTGCTGCTCTTACAGTTGTCTGGTGAACGACGAAATGACAGGTACTTATCTTTTCACTTACAGCGTCTGTCTGTACAAAGTCCAGAGTGGGCGATGGTCATCAGATGTACAGTGCATTCAGTTGAGCTCTGCTAACGGTTCTCGTATGATTGTGAAATCTTTGGCTCAATTTTGTTTTATTTCGCCGACCGGCTTTTCTACAAAGACTGGACAAACACAGCATTAAGACCAATTGTTCGCACTTGATTCGATGGTGATACCTATGAGTGCGCTAACATTAGTCAAATTCAACAAACTCTTCAATATGAATATCGTTCTCTTTAGTGCTCCTATTGATTACTTATACGTTGAGCATCTCGTGTCCACTATGCATAATTCAATATTGTAATGTGCCTGTACTACAAGAGAACGCAATGCACAATTTGCGAGTACATATTCGATGACAATTGCGAAAACATTTTGCAAGATTCGTGTATACAACGAACCTTTTTTTGTCATGGTAGACGACATGATTATTCTGGACGGGGTTTCAGATTTCATAATAGACCTCTTCATCTGGCAAAACTTGTCATCATCATCACAATCAATTGCGGCAAAGATGAGACCAGTAGGAGTCGTAGCAATGCACGATTCTACATGGCTGTATCTTGAGAACCCGAGATACAAGATACAGCAATATGGAAATCCAATACTGTTCGGATAATAGAACAAGCGGAAAACTTAAAACACGGTAACATGACAATGAGCTCGTGATCGAATCCGTGAAGCGAATAAAAATAAATGCAAATTAGCAGCACATTACGCAGCACCTACGGCGAATTTATTACAGAATAAGATCGGCAGTTAAAAACATGACCTTGTAACACAACGAATCGAAAGCCTTTTATTGGGCACTCATGCGATGAAGCCATATTCAGAACACCAACTAGCAATACATTCATTTGTGCTGCTTCAGCAGTCAATATTTGTAAATAAACTCTGTGTGGGGGAGGCAAAGCTTTGAAGAGTGGACTCGCCTTCAACTCTGCTTGTTCACTGCCAGCGCATCGTGAACCTCTGTTAACAATTTTTTTTCATCACAAGCTTCGATCCTACTTTGACTCCAACCTCTATTTGAAATTTAAGGCATATCGAAGCCGCTTGCGAATTCACTACAGAAGCTACCACTAAAATAATCATGACAAATTATGTTTGCGTCCTCGGTATACTTTACAAATCGCTACTTGATTATCGACGAAAGATCAATGAATCACAAGGTGACATCAAAACGATGGCTAGAGTAATCCTTTTTTGTCCATATTTTTCAGTTCAAGTTATAAATTTTTAATTATGGCGATCGTCTACCATCTATCTCGCTGAGTAGCATTACCAACTTGGACAAGGACTAATCGCACGATTACATCAGAACACACCATTGATATCACTCTATAAGCTTTGCAGCGAATTGAAAACAGGGCAGCCACGCGGTTTTCTTCCTACACTGAAATCTCCAGAACTTGCACTTGACGTGCGGGTTCATCGGCGTCCTCCGATGGCACCAGCAGGCGTCGCCAAAGCCATAGCTGTTCGGCAAAGGATTGTGGACTCTGCAACAGAAACAACAACAATAAAAAACAACGGCAGATCCCACTTATTCTGGTAATCGATGTCATGCGAAGCAGTAGGCAAGAAGTCGTCGATATAGCGTTTTCTTGGTGCTTTGAGTAGAGATTTGGGCGGACTTTTGTGCATTTTGAGTAGTTGTGCGTTTGTCATGGGCAGGCCCACAGGGAGAAACATTTTCGAAGGGGCAGGCACCACTTATTGAAGGTCATCATTCATCATCATTATCATCATCATCATCGTCATCATCAGCCTGACTACGTCCACTGCAGGACAGAGGCCTCTCCCATGTTCCGCCAGTCAACTCGGTTCTGTGCTTGCTGCTGCCACTTTATACCCGCAAACTTCCTAATTTCATCTGCCCACCTAACCTTCTGTCTCCCGCTAACCCGATTGCCTTCTCTAGGAATCGAGTCAGTCACCCTTATTAACCAGCGATTGTCCTGTATACGCACTACATGCCCGGCCCATGTCCATTTCCTCTTGATATTAAAGATTATATCCTTAACCCCCGTTTGTTCCCTAATACACTCTACTCTCTTCTTGTCTCCTAAGGTTACACCTACCAATTTTCTTTCCGTTGCTCGCTGCGACGTCCTCAATTCAAGCTGAACCCTCTTTGTAAGTCTCCATGTTTCTGTTCCGTAGCTAAGTACCGGCATGATACAGCTCCTATATACCTTCCTCTTTAGGGATAGTGGCAATCTGCCTGTCATAATTTGAGAGTGCTTGCCAAATGTGCTCCACCCCATTCTTATTCTTATAATTACTTCAATCTCGTGGTTCGGCTCCGTGGTTATTACCTGCCCTAAGTAGACAGTCTTTTACAGCTTCAAGTGGACTATTATCTATCTCAAAGCGCTGCTCCCTTCCGAGGTTGTTGTACATTACTTTCGTTTTCTGCAGATTAAATTTAAGACCCACCTTTGTGTAACTACGTAATCATGACTTGCAATTTGTCCACTGAGTTACTTAGCAATGCAATGTCATCGGCGAACCACAGGTTACTAAGGTACTCTCCATTAATGAAGGTCTTCACTAGTCGATAAATGCGAAATGCGGTTATTTGAAGAAGCAATAGTTTGGAGGTGTAGGAAGCTCATAAAATCCCTCCCCCCTCTCCTCCTTTAGCTATAACATTGGCCACGGGCACGTCGACTTCAGTGACGCCCTTAAGTACCCCATCGTACGCCTTAACAACGGTATTCACGTTCATAAATTGGTGAACCCACTCATAGGTCGTCAATCGCACTCACTTAAACTCAGATATAGCCGTGAGTCTGAGCCTGAGCGAGTCCCGGAGAGAATTATTTTGGTCAGTTTGAGTCCGAGTTAGTTCGGCTCAGGAAACTTTTGCTGAGTCTGACTCCGAGTAAGCCTAAAGCGCAAGATGAATTTCTTGTGTGAGTCTGGGTGATTTCCACTTTTTTTCTGCAGATCTGTAGTCATATCCACTCATTTTCAGCATTACTGTGAACCTTACCTGAATTGACATCTATACTCATGTCTACTCAGACGTATTTTAAAGCAGTGGCTTTCGTACACCATGTCATTATTTATTGACCTGACGCGAGAATTAAGCAAGAGAGGGCCTTGACTCCTCTCCCCTCGCTGCCTTCCCTTCCAAGGAAGTTCTTTGTGCATGTTGTGTTGTCATCTTTTCCAAGAAAAGAGACCTCCCTGGTTTTCGAGTACTCATAACTCGTATTCGAAGGAGGCGTTTTATCTCTAGATTAACCCTCGAAAAATTTTTAGATTGCAAGGAAAATCCCTTGATTAGATCTTTAATGTTATTTTTCAGGATAAATGGCTCTTAACAAAATACTAGGATAGTATGCTCTGTGGCCAAGTTCTTTTGGATCTTGTTAAAAACAATAATCGCCATTAACCATCATGTACGGACTTTTTTGTACACGTTCTATGAAGTTGAATACATTGGGCTTGCGAATGGCACCTGTTGCCACCGAGGCACATTTGCATGCCAGTTTCACTTTGCCCATGCACGCATTGAAGACAATGATGTGATCACTGGGGTCAACTGCGAGTCTGTAACGCCTTTCTTGTACTTGCAGGTTGACAGCGGCTGGTCTATTCTCCACATTTGCAATCACTGTTGCAACATTTTCAGTCGATCTAAGTGGACGCTCTACTGCGGGCCGAAAGCTGAGCCTTGAACTTTCAGTCAGCTTTCGGATTGGGTAAATATATTCGTTCCTTTTTCACTCTCATGGGAAGGGCTTGCCGGAAATGTTTAAACAATAGAACAGTCATGTTGTCTCTCTTCATTGCATGCATCATTTGCGCAATATCGAGCCCGCACCACCTTACGAAATCTATAGTCTATAGTGTCGGTCTGTTCTTCTATAATATTCCTGGTTATTTCACATGAAGACATTGCTAGGTGAAAGCACGCATTGAGCGTAATCTTGTCAAGTGATCATGTGCACTACAAGACAACAATTATCATTGTTTCACAGCGCAGAAGTCACTCAGGGAGTTCATGATATGCACGTGCTTAACGTATACGAATACAAAGTTTAATTTCCCCATTATTCACACTATAATAACCTCACGTTACAAAACTGCTATCCACTTCACAAGGTTCAATACTGTCTTGATTAGGCAGAAAACATGAAATAGCCTAAATTATCTTTTTTTTTCAAATCCTTTCTAGTTGCAAGAGCGTGAACACATAGTAATGCCTTTATGCCTTTAATTAAACCACGCATTGTCACGTTTCCAGCGCCCTACAAAAATCTCTGGATTCAACAAAGAACATGCCAGATTGCTTAGGGAGGTTAAAATTTCGTAGATCTATAAGACTAAATCTTTAGAGTTGACATCACTGGACGTCAGTTGCCAGTTGACACTCTTTCCTTTCACTTATTCTGGCCCGGTGGTGTGCGTCGTCTAATTTTCTTGCGAAGCCCAAGGATCCCCCGATTTGAAGTCACTTTTTATGATTACTCCTTGTGTCTGGTAATTACATTACTACGAGGTGCATGTGCCTACTTAAGACGTAGGAATATTATTATCGATCTTGCTCTTTATCTTAATCCGGTTTTTAACATTGCTAGCAATGCGTCAGGCCAGTATTAACCACATAATTTTGAGCGGGATCGCGACGCACGAGCTATATATCTGGAGGGACTATCAGCTGGGTACTAAAAAGCTATTTAGGTAAAACATTTCTTGGCTTCATCAACAGTTGGCATTATGTATGGTAAAGACTAACAATATCGGGCCACAGTCGCTGCTTTGCTCGTTCGGTAATGCATGATTGTCATTGGATTTGCTGATCATTGCGAGCCATTAGTAGTCTCTGCTAATAGAGTGTGGTAATATAGGGATACTAGTGGGAATAAGGGTCTTCTAATGGTTTCGGTTGGCAAGTCGCGCCAATAACTCACGCGGCTTGCTTAGGGTCGAACAGCAGGCGCCTGAAGCACTGGTCGACGTGCGCGAACTTCGCTCACCAGGCTGCGCTGCAAGTTTCCCAGAGGCAAGTCACGGACCTGTCAAAGCAAACGACCAAAACCAAGTTAACGTTCATTCAAGCTCAGCTGTAGTTATGCGTGGATATGTGTACGCTGTAGAGACCGATTTAACCACGTTACGAAGTATCGAATGAAAGTAAATATACTTGCCGTTTCCTAAAACACACTTCGTTCCTCTTCACTCATCACCCAGGCGGAGAAGAATTCGACGAAATCGAGGTGCTTCAACTGAAAGACAACATTTGTTCGAATGAAAATTAGAGAGCCGCACAACTCCGTAAAAACAAGTCGTAATCGCCGCATACGCTGAACATTCACAGTATGTCGCATCGAAGGCCTTGCACTCTTGGCTTATTAAATGCGAATGCATTTCTTAGTCAGGCTATGTCAGGCGTCCGTCGGGATCCGTTCACCGCCCTCTCCCATAGCAACAGCTGCGGGCGCGTGCGCTTATCCTCGCCCCTAGCAACCGGAGGCCCCCCTCCCCTCTTTGACTTGAAGGTGACTTGACACCGCTTCAATTCAGTACGTTTGAAACGAGTTTGCAGCGTTTGTGCTCTGCAGCGTTTGTGTAGCGCTTTTTTTTTACCGTGCACCTTAGCTACAGCTGGAAATGCATACCACGTTTTTCGCGACAGAACAGAAAAACGCCATGTGTGGCTAACGGTGCTATTGGCTCCAAGGTGTGAGAAAAAAAAAGAAACATTCTTCAAACGCTGGGTTCTCACGTGCAAAATGCCGTTATGGACGCTACGCAATGCATTCGCATTTCCTCACGATTCCCTTCGGGGAGGTGGGGGCATTTTTTTTTGTTCCTTGGCTTTCACACGCATGTACACTAGCTACCTTCTATAGACCCTTTCACTATTTAAAAACACAGGCCCCTAATGACATGCGGTTTTGTCCACCTATGTGCATAATAGTATCGGTAGGCCAGACGAGCGTTAAAAAAGAGCCCGCGGATTTTCTTCACTCCCCTTCCCTTATTTCGCAAAATATATTGAAATGAACATTGTTTTGAGCGGCATAAAAACTACAAGAGATTGCCTTGAACATTACACACATTCTTTTTATGTGAACAACTAATAAGAGACTTTCCCTACCCTTAAAATTGTGAAAACAACTTTACGGTATTGACGTTACGAGCTGGTAAATGAGGTGACCGGAAGTTTTTTTTTTTTGTGTGTGTGTGTGGCACAACGCTTGCAATATTGAAGCCGTCTATAATCCTGGCTCCATGGAACGTGTGTCCTCGTTCTCGTTCAACCCCTTGCTGTTGGTAAGAGCACCACAACGCTACAGTAGGTTACATCCCTTGGGCAGGAGGTATAAACTAACGAGGGTGCACAAGAGGGGACATCTGGCCAGGGTAAAAGTACAACAGGTCCTGCTATATTCCCAAATAATTATTAACGACAAGTAGACGGTAATTACTATGCTTGAGAAGAATCATCCAAACTTTACGTTAGATGGGTGGCACTGATTGGGTCACTGATTGGCCATTTCGCACATATACCGAATACCGCACATGGTTGACTGGCTGTTGTGCTTGAAAGTTCTAGCGTGGGTGTTTATTTCTGTGTACGATATAACGTCTAACGAACGGAAAGCGCTGCGAGTTAAATGCTAGGTCTCCGTTTCTGTGATCGAAAACAACAAAAAAGACAAAGTGCCTCATCTCTGGCACATCTTTAAAAGACGACTCAAAGGCAATAAACATCTAATTCTTCTCGTCAACTGCATTGATCCCCCTTCTCAGATACCAGAGCTTTCTGCACCCAACCTGGTTTTTCGTTGCCTCAGGAATCGGAGTCACTGAAAGCTTTTCGCACATTTTGTGGTTCTGCAAGGCCTCGGTGATCAGTTCACCGTTTACCAAGCGATGATGTTATGAAGACGTCACCAAGTAAAATTACATTATAATGTCATCACGTGTTTTTTTTTTCTTCACTCGTGTTGACGCCGCAAACGGTCACCTTTCGCAATCAATTATGTACCTAAGCCTTTCGCCTTAAAGAAAATGGTGTTCTGCGCCCCCTCACCTTGTCCAGCGCCATAGGTGCGTCCTTGGAGTTGGGCCAGGCGACGTTTTCCAGGGAGACAGCCTGACGACGTCTTCCAGGGAGACAGCTAGCAGGTCCTTCATCTTGCTGAGCGAGGCGTGCAGCTGCAGAACGCTGTGCTCCTTGACGAACACGTCGTGGTACATGCCGGGAAAAGCGAACGGCAGCGCATTCTTGGTGACCCGAAGGCAGAGGCGCCACCACGGAAGCTGGTCTAGCAGTCGGCCCAGGAGAGTGGCCACCGCGCCTTAGCTGTTGGGAAGCAGCAGCGGCGAAAACATCAGCAGCGCCTTCAGAGCCAGGTAGTTCACGATGGTGCACCTGTGCGGAGAAAGCGACTCACGACCGTTTACGTTACCGTTCACCAACAGCGCTGCCAAAGCCACCGCGAAGGTCTAGTAGTCACGGTGCTCGACTGCTGACCTGAAGGTTGCGGGATCGAATCCCGGCGCGACTGCCACATTTTTATAAAGGCAAAATGTTAAGAGCCCATGTGCTTAAAGTTAGGCGCACGCTAAAAAACTACAGCTGGTGGAAATTTCCCGAGCCCTTCACTACGACGTTTGTCATAACCATATCACGGTTCGGAGACGTAAACTCTTACACAATGCTTGCCAGCTGCGGTGTGCAGAGCGCGCGTGCACTATCAATAGATTGATCGACACCGAGATTATGTGAATCGAATGGGAGGCAGATAGCAGTGGTACACTTCACCGCCAAGCGCCATTACGGTCTGGGACGAGGCCTCCATAACCTATAGCAGTTGGACAAGCTAGGAGAGGATACTTCGTAGCTCGATATTGTATGGCTGATGCAGCTCACACAAGACGACGGCGAATGATTAAAAAGCACAGGACAGGCACTGAAACGAAACAACTGTATTTAGAAATACAAATATATATCCCGTGCGTACATCCACGTACATCATTGCTAAATAGTCCCGAGCTCGGAAATCCAGATAAATACTGATGTCATCATTCGCAAGTGATGCTTAGGTACAAAGTTTTTTGTCACTGACCGAAACTGACGACAGGCTGACGCACTTATCGCCTTTCCTTTTAATGTGGTACATGCCGATCGAACGCGAACGGCATCGCATCGTAGGCTTAACAAAACACGTCATTACCCAAGCCTGCGAAAATATCAGCTGATTTTTGAAGATGAATCTTATGCAGGCTGAGCTGGTACAAACAAGTACACGGTCATGCAGTACACTTATAGAGTGGTACAGGGTTTGCAGAACGTGCGAAACGAGACGCTGTTGAAGTAGCCACTCTGTCTGGACATAAACTTGCGTAGATAGCGCAAAAGCTCAGAAAAGCTTTCATAAGCAAACCAAATGCATTGAAAGTGTTCGTGTTAGCTGCGGAAGAAACCCCACTTTACAATATCTAGATTGGAAATAGGTCCTTTTGTATGCGGTACCATTATGATGCAGCAAAGCTTACGTAGGCCACGGCGGAAGATGCGTTAACATTCGTCATAGGGAACACGAAAGTGCATTGTCCGATACTAAGCCGTTCTCTCTCACATCCATCGACAGGAATGTACAAAAGGTATTATCAACATTTTTTGCACTTTACCGTATAAAAAAATCCATGTTTTGCGATATTGGTTTTGACATCACGGTGTCCATACTTAAAAGACTTCTTAACAATCATTTTACGCGACACTATAACGAAGCCTGACAACATTCTCGCGCCACCCGCTATTGCAATATGGTCTGAGAAAAAACAAAAACAAAACGTGGATGCGGAAACGAGAGCATAGGCGAAAGCTCGAACTACGGTTATTGATAACAGTATAGCAATCGCCTAGGTTTAAGCTTACGCGTCTTGCATCACTTTGGCTTAGAACGAAACAAGCGAATCATTACCACGACTATTGAGTGACTGCCGTTCTTTGTAATAATTTCCTTCACCGGCTGCTAGTACAACTCCAAGCCCTTTAGTGACAATTTACCTTGCGTTATTCTACGAGGTACAAGCCGCAAGTCATTTTGGCGATGTATAAACCGTGCAATACACACTGCGATTCGGCCGCTGCTCCCTACACGCCTGTGGAGCCGATGGTTAAGAGAGGTCTCAGAGCTCCACGGTGCTTCATTTTTCTTGCTTCTCGTTTAGGAAACGACTACGGCAGTCCTGTCGATGGCCATCATAACATCGGTCGGCTATACGCGAGCCAAGTAAGGGCACCAACGACTTCCGGGACCCTGCGTAATCGATGCTTCCGAGCGCACCACACGAAGCGCGTTTCCGGTTAGCGGCGCACCGATAGGCTCCACTTCCTCGACCAGACGATTATGGTTCCGTGCGGGCGTATAAGAGTAACAGCAAAAAAAAAAGAAAACTATAATAACAAAGAACACCACCACCGACAGTCGCCAATAAAGTCTTGTCCGACATGCACAACTAGCGCGTACCGTGTCGACAGCGTGGGAGGAAATGCCGAGCCCTACTGCCCTCTCCGAGTGAAGGGTCGTGCCCCGCGTGACTGCGGATGCCACCTGGCCGCTATGCAGACCTGAATTGCGGGAGACCATTGTTTCTGGAACGGGACCGCTTTCGGCTTCTCCGTCAATTGTGTCCGCATATCCTCTGCATGTTTTCCTTCGAAGACAGACTGGTGAACTAGGAGCACCAGTAGTCGCTTGTGTATGTTGGACGCGTGCTCCGAGTTCTTACGTTGGACTAGCTAGGAACGGAACCGCTTAACAGATGAAGTGCACGAAAGATATTAGGCAAATTTACACACCACACTTAGGCTGCAGGAGTTGATTGGGCCCTATTTGTCTGAACAGCGCTGATATAACGCGTATCTAAGGAACAAGTTCAAGACGTAATACAGTGAAAGAATAGCGTCGTTTACGAATGTGGCTATACTGAAATTCAGATTTTCTTTTCATCTGCCGGGAAAAGTAGCATATTGTCTCTCAGAAACTTCGGCTATAAGCGCTTTGCTGTGATCGAGTTTACCGATTATTCTTTGCGCAACAGTACTGGGAATGTGCTGCGTGCTTCTTCCTGTTGTGGGGTATTTGGATAGTGCTATGTTGTCATTACTTCAGAGTATTGTTAGACTCCCCTCTCCTGCTTATTTTTTTATTCCCCCTTTCCTCGTGCCAAGTAAAATCTAGCCATGGCTAGATTTTACTTGGCACGAGGAAAAGTTAACCTGAGGGAATCTCTGGGTGCACCCAGAGATTCCCTCAGGTTAACTTTTCTTCATTTCGTTTAACTTTCTCTGTCACAAGAAAATTTTACCCGGTTGGGATTACAATGTTGCTGTAATGACCTTGTTCAGGTCACAAGAAAATCCGTCCTGTTGTCTTTTCTATCAATGGTCTTCTGTCCTGTATATGTCCTGAGGACATCGCCATTTGCAAGCTTATTTTCCCATGGGAACACTGTAACATCGCTCCCACAGTGATGAGTGTGATGCTCGTACGTATATCACGATTTGTGATGTTACACATTCTCTGTTGCCTAGCGGTCGACGCTGCACTCTTTAACTGCACGCAGTGTTCCATTTCGTGAAAACGCGTTTGACATTCTGTAGTTTACTTGTCTCTATATATTCACTGAATAATAGTCACTTATACTTTGACATACTTTTCCCACAATCATCCTAGTTCTTTTGTAGCTTTGCGTAGAGAGGGGGAAAATGCTAGAACGCAGTGGTTTATAGACAACTTATACATCATCTATACATATTCTGCAAAATAATTCTAAATGAAAACTGTGACACTTCCAGAGACTGCCCACAGAGAGTATTTGTAAAAAAAAAGTATACATACAGTTCAATTACGCGTACAGTCAGTACGTTTGAGCATACGTACAAACTGTGCATAGACTAAATTCTGCTGTCTCTACACGTGGTAACCTGTTCCACGCCTGGCCCTGGCGGCCGCATCTGATGTATTGAAATGTAGCTTTATTTTGTAGATCCCCGCGTGGTCTAAATCATCCCGGGGCATTCCAGTATCCGCATCCTTCACGAAGGACACTTTGCATTCGCGAGACCTTAAAAGCTTCAATTTTTTTTTCCTTGTCATTGAAACAAATTTTTTTCTGGTGAGCTGCAAAAACTGTCAGAAAATTTGTTTATTAGCATGCATACGTATTGTATAATCAGCAAGAAGAAAAAAATGACCGTGTTTTTAGTCCTGTTAAGTTGAAAGAACAAATACCATGCGTTTGATTTACTTCTCCACGCGCGCAGGCAGTGATATAGATGATATGAAATCAAAAATAGTGAATATTCAAGAATTCTCTGGCAAAGCGCCAGGTCGTCGACAAACGGACAAAACAAGACACACAAAGAAAGCACCGCGTCTTGCGGCTGCTTTTGCCTGCACGCCTTGTTGGTGCTGCAACTGACTTATTCAGTATGAGCACAGTCTTGCAATCATTGCTTTCTTACAATAACTGCATCGAATTTACCAAGCCCTGATGGACGCCCAATGTTTTTTATGGAAGGATGGACGCAGGGACGGACGCAGGGGCGGACGGATGGACGCATGAATTAACGCACGAGAGGATGGGCGGACGCATGGATAGATGGGTGGACGGACGCATGGACGGGTGCACGAATGGGCGGACGTACGGACGAACGCAGGGACGGACGCGCAGATGGACGCGTGAGAGGACGAACGAATGGATGGATGAATGGATGGACGGATGGACGGATGTATGCATGGACGGATGCACGAATGGACGGACGGACGCACAGATAGGCGGACGGACGTGCGGTTGGACGGAAGCAAGAACAAACAGACGGCCGGAAGCAGGGATGGACTGATGGACGTTTTGGCCCACTCATCATCATTCACTTCGTGGATATGCTGTGATTTTTATTATTTATCATACTACAAGTACCGTCCTCTAGTATCGTACCACTTGCATTTTTCAGCGTATATGCATTTCGTTATATGTAGAAGTACCGCCATCTACGGCCAGTCGAAGAATTGACGAGAGGTGACTACAAACAATTATGACGGGACGCTCAGCCCACGCCTAAAGGAGCTTCGCTCCTAAAGGCGAGTGCACGAATCTGAACAACTTATCACAGCCCCGCAATGGCAGTCGTACACCTTTGACCAACGTGACCGCGTTCAGAGTTTACGAATGCGGCATCGCGAAAACAGCGTCAACGATTTCAGTCGCGGATTTCCTGTTGAGCTACTGTTTCCACGATTCAGCTCACCGCTGTTTGAGACGCCACATGCGCGATAACGAGCTAGGTCGTTATCGCCTCTGGAGCTCGCCGCTCTCCGCGGGACTCTTAATGGAGCAAGCTGTCGGTGAGTGGGCTAAGTGGGGAAACAAAGAAGGGGCAGGCTTAAGAAACGGTTATAGAAAAGACAAGTGCGTGCAACAAAAGAAAAATGTATATCGAAGAAGAAGCGGTCGCAATAGCGCTATTTGTGCTAAACCTTCAGCATTAATGTACCAATTTACATACGGTGAATTTATTCAGTTGGTGGTCATTTTTCAGCAGCACCACGCACCTACTATAATGAAACTTGCTGCGTTACAAACTCCCGAGATGCAAAGGAGCTGCTCAGAGAGAAATCGGTGACCGGCATCCCGTAAGAAAAGAATGTGACGAGGCACAAGCATTCAAGTGCGGTAGGTGTTTGCTGCAGGTTTCATCTCATGCTTCTCATAAAAGCTTTGAGAGACTGAAGCGGGAGAGTTATTAGCACTTCGGCGGGTTCCCTTCATTCGGGCAGTGTTCAGTCATTTTGCAACATGCATATACGCTTGTACAGGACAAAGGAGTCGGCTGCGATTTACCGACTAACGGATTCCAATTTTCGCAGCAGCGCGCTTGTTTCCGAGAGACGCCGCAGTGCGAAGCTCCTCATTAATTTCGGCAACTTGTGGTTCTTCAAGGGGCGAACGCGAGTGTAATTCGCCTTCACTCGGTGCAGCCACCGAAACCAATTTATTCGCATTATCGAACCCCCTGCATGCTCGTCTGCATAAGGGCTACTGCAGGCCGCTCGCGGAGTCTCACCATTCATGCATCGGTCATTTAAACAATGCGCGCGCGAAAAACTCCACA